TAATAAATAATAATAAGCGCGGCATAAATTGGGAGTCGATTACTAGAGTCGACTGGTCAGAAGTCTTTCAAGTTGTGAGTAACAAAAATACGTGGATGAATTATCATTTTCATCTTCAACTGAAAATGAAACTTTATTTCATATTTCCTTAGAAAATTAGTTGTATAGAAAGTAAAACATTCTTATATTTTTATTTAACTTGACCATCACAACAACAGTAATGAGTACATACAGATGTGTAACAAAGTGACGAATAGCAATAGCAAAAAGAGATCAATACCGAAATAAACGGCAACAGATAATGAGATCATAAAAAAAGGCATTCAACAAGAAGTTGGAAATATGAAAAACAGATCCGAGAATAACTTATGTATCAAGATGGTCGCTATAGTAACTATAGCAACATATAAACGGGGTCTTCATTTGGCAGATCAGAAACACATACAAAGCAAAAACAATAACTCACTTTCCGCTATGTAACTTTAATAGCAGGAAATCTCGCACGAAATGGACGCTTGAAAATGCCGTGCAAGCATCGTTTCAAAATGACAAATAATACAGCCTCAGGTAAAAGGAAGCCAGTTAGCATGCAATAGTGTACCAATATAGAAATAGCCCAGCAAGTAAGATAATAGCAAGGCATGCATCCAGTGTGATCTTGAAAAATTGGTGAAAAAAGGAAGGAAAGTAGGATACTGTACATCATCTAATGTTACTAGGGGAGTTCGACGGTCCATGTATTGTGCTATGATTAAATAAATAAATGGCGATGACGAAAACAGAATTCGGGTGAACACTTCCACGTTGTACAACACCAAAGCCAGAAATGTTAGCACCAACGTATGAATTAGAAACGGCAGTGTACTGCTCGCATTCTGGAGTGTGCCAAGAATAACTCCAAATAATGATCTATCATGAAAGAATGGTTTACGTTAGTATTTACAGTTTCCACTACATTTTCATAGCTTCGAACCATTAATATGATAATATGATATTTTTACAACATCTTTACGATGCGGCCCTAGACCGAGTAAGGAAGAATTTAAGGATGGGTCAATAATTAATAATAAAGTGCAGAAACATTGATATAGTCTTCGTTAATTAGGTGATTCAAACAAAGTTTTCGTTTTGATGAAAACAGTTCAGATTTACTTCATCGCAATGAGCGCTACTAAAAAATGTATAATGCAACGTACCCATGCATTCTTTTTAAAAGATTAATTTCGAACAGAGAGCCATATGAAACGATGAAAATCGCTGGAGCGGCCATTATGAAGCACGGCAGTTTTTTCAACTGCCAGTAGCCAAAGGGCTCAACTTGCCAGTATTTCTCTTGAACATAATTATAAAATGAGGGAATTGGATATAATATATTTCGTCCTTTCCTACAACGAACAACCAATTATGTTTTCCTAACTTCTTTTTTTTCAAAATCATAAAGTTTTCCAAAATTTCTTCTAAAGAAATTCTAGACATTATTAAGACATACAAATAAACTTAAACAGTATCCAACATATTACCAAAAACAATGTAGACCTACACCATACCTACACCATATTAAGCTTTCCAAGTCATGAGGAAGAACTAGTTTGGATTGCAGCGCATACTGATATACAATATCAGGCATTTCTTTCGCTCTACTGTGAGTGGTATTTCGAGAACAGAAACTGTGATGCATTCTTGAGCCATGAGACACCACTTGACTTCCAAATATACCCCAGCAAATCGTAATCAACATGATGAATCGAAATAACTGGAAAATCCAAAAAATAAAATACACAAAAATCTGATTACCGGACTTGAACAATATGCACTTTTCATATCACATGAGCTATTATACACACAGAATCAAAGATAAACGATAAAGTAATTATTTTTTAGCTTTATTCAATACAACAAAATGTTGATAATATACATATTTTTAGATCCTATGACAATATTTTGTGAAGACATCTTGTGCCAACAAATATTATTTATGTATAAGAAATTTTGCTATATCAGTCAGCTTCAATAGCAAGCAAACTTTTACTCATATTCAAAAATAACTCCTAAAAACGTGCGACATTAAGAGACTGTGGAAAACTACAGTAAACGTTATCTAAATAATAAGCATTTTGGACATAAAAGCAACTTATTAAGTTCCCGGCCAATTCAAAGTGAACCCATGATAAAGCTGGAAAATGGAAACCTTATATATATATATATATATATAACGCACAACAACAGGAGGATACTGCACAACAACAAAACGTCTGATGATTTCACACCTTCAACAACACAGTACCACAATCGCGTTCCCAGATGAATTTGTGCAATGTCACCGAGTAGACTGTTTCTAATGTCAACTGGAATATAATGTAACCGAAATTGAAAATGCCATTTGATCTGAAAAAAATCCAGTAGTCTTAATATTTCTAATCATTCGACTCCACAAATGAAAAAAAAAAAAAAAAAAAAAAAACATCAAATAAACGATGAAGTCATATAGTTGTTCATCATTACTTTGCTTATTTTTCAAAGAGTACCGAGAATGTGAAGCCTCACTGAAGTTACATGATATAAACGGCATTAAGTAATGAATGATTTACAAAAACTAAATTATAGTTATCCCGAAATAATTACTTTTCGATATACTGGACAGGGAAAGAGATTCTAAATCTGAGTATTTTAGAGAAATACGCCACATTAATATGAAGGTAATTACATGATCTGATGATATAACTGAAGCCAAAAAGAATTTCCAAACTTCCCCTTAACAACTGACCAATTCTTTTTCATTACTAATTTGTCAAAATAAAAAAGAGAAGTATAAAAAACTAACCTAGTTGCAAATGCAAATGAGAAAAACAGAGCAGCTATAATGTACCGTACAAACGAAAGAGATGGATCCGCATAGAGTACGAACATTCCACAAAAAGTTAAAAGCATATACACACTTTCGGAATAAACAGCAGAAAAGAAAACGCTAGCCGGATTTAAAGTAAACACAATGCAAGCGAGCAAAGCACGTTTCGTCGACTTAGTGAGTATGAGCAGCAACGCATACAATAGTTGTCCACACAGCGCAAAAGCTATCTGTAAAATTTTATAAACATGAGCATCACTACATTCTACAAGTTTTCTTTTACATTAACTATTTTACGCCCAATTTTTTTTTTTAACTTTTACATACAGAAGGTACGAAAATCTTACAAAGTTGACAATGACAGCGGTAAGTATAACAGCTGTTGAAAAATGAATAAAGGGCAGTGCCCAACTCCAAATAAGTGTGAGAGAATAAATCAAAGTCGGATAAAGAGGAAAAAAGGCAAGATTGCTCTCATAAGTATAGCCGTACTGAGCAATATGCAGGAAATGTACCGCATCCCATCTTATTAGACCACCAAAAGCAATTTGAATCCAGTGATCAACTTGGGACAATTCCGCTGTAATGTTTGGCAAATGAACCTGACACGAAAAGAAATAAAAAAAATCATACTACTGTAATCCAGTAGCTACCAAATATAGAAACATCGTAAAATTTTTAATGAGTATTTCGACGACTAAAATCATTCTACAAGAACACATTCGATTTTAATCCTAAAAGCAATTTAATGTTATCAATTTAATACAGTCAGATTAATCACAGTGATGCCTTCCCAACCCTGATTTTTAATGAAAAGACTGTAAATTAACACAAAAAATTGTTTTTTTTACATCAAAAGACCTTATTGGCATCTAAATATTCTATCTAAATATGTCTAATACATCTAAATATTATATGAAATACATCTAAATATTCTGTCATTGCCACAATTTATTGTATGATTTTTCGATAAAGTCCGACGCCAAAACATTTCGGATCCGCCATATGTATCAAAATATAATAAATATGAAAAGTTATAATATGATATAACAAATCTTAATAAATAAACGTAGTAACACTACAAAATGCTGAGATATTAACCTTTCGGGATTGGAACTCCTTGGAAAGCGTCCGTAGGATAATCAGTTACTACAACATTCATTATAAACTGTATGATGAACATCAGTATACGACTTATTATACACTGTTTCAGGACAAAAAATGCGAATTCTGCATCCCATTGCCATTCTTTCTGCAAAAAATAAAACTCTATCCAAATGTGAAAACAACTTTAGCTAATAATAATTTGATGTACGAAATATTTCTACATTCATATTTCAATTCCATAGCATAAGCTTTTACCAATGGAAGCTAGAACTGAATTTCTTGAAATTGAAGGATGCTGGAAGTTCTCTGGCAATGCTAAGAACTCTGTGAGAAAGAGTCATCCATTCAGACTTTCTGTCTAATTAATTATAAGATACAACCGTTTCAGAGTGGTCTCCAGACACAGTTCGATAAGTGTTCAAAAAAAAACGGAAATTGGTTCTGTAAAGAATTTCCACCCATAAATTTCTTTTGAAACTCAACGAACCGACGAGTCACTGCTATTAAGATGATCTCTGAAATTTGTTAAAAGAGTACTGGTATTCACTTCTTTTTCTTTCTCTATTCCAATGGCCATTTCCTGTGAAACGATAACAATATTTTATAGCTACAGGTTGCAATCACATAATACCAATCATTCACTATCTAAAATACAAAGCATAAATTTCATCATGAATTAAAATAACTTTCTGAACAGTAATATGTGTCAGAAATTTTTGGAAAAATGAAAACTTTTGGCAAGCTGCACACAGCAAAAAGAAACAGTACTGAAGAAGACAGTTCAGGGCTAGGCTACGGAAATGTAATTAGAGAGGAAGAAATAACAGATCCTGTGAAAACAAAGTGCTAAAGAAGTAGGAAAAGTATATAATTAGAGAATAACTTCACAACAACACGAAGAAACAAAGATTCTAAAGATATGAAAATTGAAGATTAGCCCTACTACCTGTCATTTCTCCAATCATCCTTCCTAGGGTACAAATCTAACGGACTGCCTTTGTTGACGACAAATGAAATTGTTACGTTTTCGCGTTTGGATACACAACTGATGCAACACGGGAGTGCTTCTGTATCGAAGTATTCGAAGGATTTACAGTGCCGATCATTGCATCGGCTGAAGCGCGAAAGACCTGGCGATGCACCACAAGTCTCGAAAGGCGTACCTCCATATGAAGTTACCAGAATTGTGGTAAGTTTTGTCTATAGTAATGTTTATAATGTATATGTTTTTTCTTTTTTTTTTGGTAATGTAAGCTTACCGAATTAGGGAACCTTCATTTCATGAGAAAGTTTCCGTTTTACACAGCTGAATTTATTTCCGTAAGCTCGAATTTCGTGATCTGCGCAATGAAGAAACCGCTTAATATGAAAGCTTTAAAAAATTCGGCAACATGATATCCTCCACATCGATTAATTATTTAATAAAGACTTGGAATAGTTGCAGGCTACCGTGTCATCTTCAACAGTACCGGATTCAAAGAGACCGCGTTTACATTCTTTTTCCAAAACTCAATCTGAAAAGTTGGGATTGAAACTATCTGGTCGAATCTCACATGTGGTGCTGGAAGAGTGCCTGAAATGCACAGAAAATGGCGATAAGTTAGGGTAGGTTCTCAATTTTTATTTGAATTTTAATTCTTATTAGTGTCATTGGTTTTCTTAATAGATCCCTTGCTTTCCATTTAGGGTATTTTCACGCTTGCGAGAATTCTTCGGAGAACATTTGTCTGTTCTCAGTGTTGATTCAAGGTTGTGTTGTGCTAAACTTTTGATTCAAATAGCAAAAGCTTCAAGAATTGTGGCCATAACTAATACTTGTTTACTATACGCGCTTCATATTTGCAAATCAGTTGACATGAAGCAAAATATATGGAACGAAATCGTAGTACTGATGGCCAATGATAAGGATAAGAGGGAAACAAGGTAGGTACTGAATGAATTCCAAGCCTTTTGTCTGATGGGTAGAAAAATGGAAAACTTTGTATTAAAAATAGCACATTGGTCACTTAAAAATTTGGAGTGAAAATTCATCAAATGATTATCCTTCAGCATTATACAAGATCTCATGCGCAATGAAATTTTCTTCAAAAGATTTTGAATTATATTTTAGTTGAAAAGTAATTTTATTTTTTAATTCAACTGTTTGATTATTAAATAGCGTTCTCATTGCAACTAAAGATGCAGCTGGTTTATAGAATAGTTCTTAAATGGACAGATATTAAACGTTTTTGTCATTGCTTTTAAATTGTTTTTTTATTCAAAAGCATTAAGAGTTATATTTCAGTTGGATAGTTGGTGGAAGTCATGTTTCTGTATTTCTTTTACTTATTACTTTTCTAATCAAAATAACTTTGCAGTCTATTTCACCGACCTGCTACATATGCATCATTGTTAGCACTTTTTGAGTGGGCATTATCTGAAGGCTTAAAAATGGGTCAGTATATGCAGCAAATGAATTGTATGGCTGAAGAGAGTATGCGCTCAACCGACCAAAACAATCGTATCGCTGCTGTTAATCTTTTCGTGACTTGTTTGTTAAAAAGTACAGTTTATTAGATTTTTTTAACTAATTTTTAACAACGGTGAATTTTGAGCTATCCAAAGCGGGCTAAGACGTGGACAGTAAAGCGGTAAAGGAGAGAAAAGTAATGACCGGTTAGCTAAGAGGCTGTTATTACCAACAGATTTAAATATGTAATGACTTTTGGTATGCGTTTTTAGGTAAGATACAGTGCTCAGTACAGGAGTTTCTATGGCTCGAAAAACTTTTATCGAAAATGGCTGAAGATCGTGATTCTCGGGTGCGAATAGCTGCAGTTAAAGGTCTTTCGACAATGGCTGCCAGTGGTCGTTTACTCAGTTTTTCTATTTATCAGCAAGTGAAAAATGTATCTATAACTTTAATATGAACTGAGCTCCATATTACTAAAACTTATCTATAATACGTTATTTCAAAGTTTAAAAATGAGTACAGAGTTCTTGTACTTCTAAAAGGCCAAGATTAAAAGTATCTCTTTCTATTTCAAAGTTCTGCCATAAACGTGAATAATCTGAATAAGAATATGAAAAGAAAAATTTATCCTTTTTGGTTGCAACATTCAAAACTTTAGTGTAAAAACTTATTTATGTTTCTGCCCCTTTATTATTAACGTTCACTTTGACGTGCTCTTTTTAAACAGGTTTGATGAAATTAAGATTGCATCTTTTTTTTTACCGATACTTTGAACGTACATCGAGAAGTTATTTTCAGTTATGTGAAAACTCGTCAAAAATAGTTCGAACAGAAGCATTGTATATATTAAAACTATTCGCAGACCATCGCCCTGAAACGTAATAATCAGTAATCAATAATGATATTGTTTTTTTTCATCCCTTATGTTTATGAATTAAATCAACTAGCAAATTTAATATTGGCTTACTTTTACATGAAAATTTCATATTTTTTTATGAATTTCATTTTATAAGGAAAAACGAAATGTTAAGGGAAGTCATTGGCCGAAATGGTGCAAAACTTCGATTAGTTGACGATGCATTTGCTGCTGTGTGCCACGCAATCAATGATGTTGAAGTGAGATAAGATGTGAACTTATCAGATTGTAATTTCCTTGTAGTAATGCTTTTGTATTTTTTCGATAAAGGAATTTTACAAGCAGTTCAAGTTGTATGAATTAATACTTTTTTTATTTTAGGTCACTGTTCGTGCTATTGCTGCTCGACTTTTGGGTGACTTCCAACAAGTTTCCGACTCTTTTTTGGATCAAACTCTTGACAAGAAACTATTGAATGCTATGAGGATAAGTTTTTTTTTTTTTTTTTTTATCAGATTCGACAAGAATTCTGCGGTAATGAATTTATTTATGTACTTTAGATGTCAAAAACACGTGATGGTGTTTCAAAAAAACCTCAAGCATACGGATTACGACATCGCCGTTTACAAGCAACAAGTGAATGGTCAACGGGGAAGAAACTGGGAGAAGATGTTCCAGTAGAGAGGTTCGATGAAGAACAAGCTAGCATCATTTCTTCGGGAGCTTGTGGTGCTTTCGTTACAGCATTGGAAGATGAATTTATGAGTATGTTTGGTAATATCAGTATTAGCTATGAAGTTTCAAATTTTCGAAAACATTACTGTATAAAAGGACAGTAAAGGTGAATTTTTTGTTAATCACTGTAGTAAAAGTTGTTTCATCTGTTTTGCTCCTTTTTTTGCCGAATTCTTTGAGCATGATGTTCTGTACTAGCTGTAAAATTTTCAGTTGTTCGTCAGGCTGGTGTTTATTCTCTAGGCCAATTAGCATCTGCTCGTCCATTCTTAGCTGCTGCTGCTTTAGATCATTTAGCTGATATGTTCAACGATGAGATTGAGCAGGTTCTGTGATTTCATTGGAAAGCATTAACTTTGATGCATGATAAATTTTCAAGTTTTTCTATCAGTTTTCTTGATTCCATTTTCATCCTTCTGTGTTATTTTCTGTCAAAATTGCACTTGGAATAATAAAATAACAATTTGTAGCATTAGGAGGCTGTTTACATACGAAGCAGGTAATTTCTTTTCTAATAAAAGATGAGAATTAATCGTAAAATCTGGACTAGTTTTAGGTGCGCCTAGATGCTGTACGCTCCTTGACGCCGTTGGTTGTTCACGGAATATTACAGAAAGAGCAACTCGACACTATATTGACCGTTCTCGATGTCAGTATTGTATTGTTTTTATAATCTTTTTTTATTATTTTGTAGTACAAATGGTTTGGTTTAATTTTGTTTTGTATTTTTTGTTTTTTGTCATTACTGCATTTAAGGATGCTTTCCCAGATAGTAGAGAAGCTTTGCGTGTACTTTTATCAAGATCAACGTTGGGTACTCCTGATTGCCTTCTATATGTTGCCAAAGCATTACTTAATTGTATGAAAAGATTCCCGATTGATCGTCAATCAATTTTCAAGTAAGTCCAGTCTTTATACCGTAATCTAGTGCTTTACAAGGAATTTTTAAATTTGCTGTACTTTTCAGTAAAACCACTTCAGAATTTATATTTTTAAGATTGTTTAGATGTATGAGTGATCTTGGGCGTCATCATGCGACATTCGTACAACTTTTGTCAGATGAACTGCTGGAATTGCATCCTGTCTTCGATATTACGGAACCAGCAGTTGATGATCAGTTCTGTAAGTATTTCATTTGAGCATTTTGAGCATGTTTTTAGGGCTTTAGAAAATGTATATAGATCATTCACCTATTGGCATAAACAATGAACAAACTAAAAACTAGAGGCTATCAAAAATTCGCAGATTATAAAACGGTTTGAAAATAATAGAGCTAATATTGCATTTAAGCTTTATGATTATTGGACTTTCCTCAAATTTTTTTTGCAGATTTGGCGAAGCTTATATTAATATTAAATGCGGCAAGTGTTCATGATCCCATATGTTCGTTATTGCCAGCGTTTGCTGTTCGCCATTATAAATTTTTGCGCTGCTCAATGCCTCTTTTAGTGCCTGCGATTGACGTGAGTTTTAGCTATGAGATTGCTTATGTTATCATAATAAGTCGAGAAATTTTTCTGTAAAATTCTTGTATCTTTTTAGGCATTTTCGGATGATAATACTTCGAGCACAAATAATATTTCTATGAGTAAAAAATTGGCAGAAGCTGGAGAACGAACTCGTGCCATCCTGGAGCGTACATATGAAATGATGCAAGAAGCTTCTCAATCCCGATCTTATCAACAGCGAATGATTGAAAAAAAACTTTTACTGAAGTACATTTTTCAAGCGATGTGCATAGATTTTGAATATGGCACGAATATAACGCGAAAATAATTAATTGGCGGCTACCAAAGAAATGAAAAGCTCTAATATGTATCTGTAGTTTATTACATTAATTGGTATTGGATATCAATGTAGCCATTAAAGCCAAGTTAAAATAGTTAATGATGGTACTTCTTACGAACTGAGCTTCTTGATCTGGAAATATTTTTTCAAGTTTGAAGGAAGAGGTTTCAAATTGACGGTGAGGAATACCTTCACCAATTATGATCGTGAATTGAAATTCCTACTTCACGAAATAATTCTTATTTCTGCAGAGATATGAATGCATTGTGTGAAGGTGATGAAGGAGTAGCTGGTACGGCACAATTTTTGTCTTGCTTATTAAAAATCCTCACGCAGTATGAACTCAGTGTTAAAATTCTTTCATATGGTGGTGATTTAGAAGCTGCACTCAACGCTATTGATGAGGTAAAAATTCTCATGTTTCCACATTAGTTCCTTCTTTTCACTCAGAAGTTCTAAGATGGTCTTAATTTTTTTCTCTGCAGGGTTTTAGACTTTTGGAACATATTGATAATAACTTTTCGTCTGTGGATAAGATGATGTTAGGCACACTGGAAGAATTTCATTTCCAACTTTCAATTTTGCGCCTGGCAGCATTATTTGATATAAAACCTGGAGCTTACACAAATGCAGCGCAGCTTATCGAAGTGGAAGTGATTCGATTTAAAGAGTATTCCTTTTTGATATCTATACAGTTGCTACTTTTTCGTTTATTTTTTGAAATTCTTCAAGAGCCGGATATTCATTTCTTGTAATCTGTAATAAACATTGGGAAAAATGTATTGTCATGTTATATGTAGATGAATTATCCATATTCTTCCAATTTCTTTACAGTCTGTATATTTAAGAAGATGTCGATCACTGACAGTGTCTCCAAGTGAATCCACTGCTGAAGTGTTAATTGGTATTGAAAAGCTTATTGTGGCAACACAAGCGAAGAAATTCATTAGCGGTTCAAGTCTGACTGCTTTATTGCAATCTCATGCTGTTCTATTGCAGAAGAAATTTGCATCGCTTGGCAGCATTTCTGTTAAATGGGCTCAGGTCCATAAACTTTCTATTAGAAGATATTCTAGAATGAAAAACTTTGTCGTTTTTATGCAACATGAAGCTTTAAAGCATTTTTCATAACTTTATTTCTTTGCGATTGAATTCTCAACTTCCTATCCTTCTTTAATTATCTTTTATATGGGTTTTTAGATTGTTGAACCATCAGAAACTCCTAATGAGCCAGTGCGTTTTGTCGCTGGATTGCCACTTGGAATCCCGATGAATATTCTGTTACATAATTTTAGCAAAAATGATATTTCTCGATTCAGAATAAAGGTTGGTTTGTCTAAGTAAATGCATAAGAAGAGATAATAATGATATTATAGACTGATTACTAGAGTTTGCAAGGTATTAAGGAATACTTGAGAATTACTATAGTGTATTACCGAGGAATAATAAATGAGAATAATTTCGACGGAATATTTGTTATCTAATAACAACAAATACTTTGCGAATCCGCAAACTAGCATATTAGAAGATAATACTAATAATGGGAAAGCTTCAGACAAAAGTGTTGAACTGGTGATTTTTTTTAATAGGTTAATATGAGGAAATAAATTTTGCAGACAGATTATCCGGATCGAAGTTCAATTCTATTCTGCCCTCGAGAAAGTGAGTTCAAGAAGATTGCTGCGCAGACTTATCGACTTCTCTGCAAAGTACTAGTTCAGGCAGATAATATATGGTCAGACTCAGCTCGAGTTCATTTTGGATGTGTGCTGAAATCTCAACAACTTACGGATGCGATGCCACCATTAGTAATTAGCTGTACTCGTTCATTGTGCATTCCGGTAGCGGATTCACCGTTTACAAACAAGCAAGCAACCATGGAAATTCCCATACAGCCTGTTCAAGCAAAAGCGAGTTGCTAGAAGTGTCATTGGAGAGCGACTTTTTTGTGCAATACTTTCCGGATCTTTGAGGCGATAATGTTAATTTGTCCTAATTCTTCACTTTTAGCCACTGCCTATTTTTTGCTGGATCTCATTTATTATCAGTTTGGAATTTAATCAAATGAATTCCGTGTTGTTAGTTTAAATGAGGATTCATACGATAAGTAGAATGAAAAAAACCCCAAAAAGAATTGGGCCGTGATATAATTGTAGTAGGTAATCGTTCAATGTTTTTTTTTTTTAAATCCAACTGTAATGAGAATAAAATTATTTGCCGCTTAATTCCATGTTTCTCTTTTAGTTCTATTTATCTGACAGTGTATTGTATTCTTTAATCCCTTTTTGTTGTTGTAAAGGAACATATATTTCAAGATATTGGAGATCTACGACGGCGATTTTCAGTTCTGGACCTAATATAATTTGTCAGAGAAGTCTCGACAAACAAGTTGCGAAGAATAAAGATGTGTTCTTTTGAGTAGATAGCGACTTCGAGGGAATGAAATTGGCTGTGAGCATTCACTAAAAATAACTTCTTTGCAAAAGAAAAGAAAGCACAGAGT